CTTCAGTGTTTCATGCATCTACCTTCAGTGTTTCCTGTGAAAACAATTTCTGTACTCTTTTACCCTTCTCATCGCGCATTTTTGGCACTAGAGCCGAACTATGGCCTTTGGTAATAATTGACGTTCAACGTTGCGTCCTGTGATCGACCAGCCTGTCCGTGAAAGTTTGCTGCTTGAGCGGATCACAAAGAACTCAATTTTTGCGTGCACATAGAATTCCAAACAAACCGGCTGAACTGAATGCATAAATGCTTGCACACTGTTAAAAAGAAACAGTAAACGACAACTATTTGCGTAATTATCAAGGATCAAGATACAACGAACACGCAGACAGAATTGTTAGACATTGAAAATGGTCATGCGATGCTGTCTGATTATGATGCAGTCATGAGGAAAGTCCTGTGACTGTCACGATGCACTTTCGATGGAATTCGATCATATAAGTTTTCCTGTAAGTTTTTCACATTTCTCCCTGTGATCTTTCTCCGGGTCGCCAGCGGACTCTATGACTTCACAGCAATGTTGTCACAAGCATAGCATGGGCACTGTGGAAGGGACACCTCTTGGCAACTTCTCCACGTGGCTATATGATGAGGTTGTGCCGTTGCCAATTGTGTTTTGCGTGTATTCGAGCAGAGGTAATTCTGTAAATTCGCCAAACATTTGCGTTTGCTATGACGTCATGCTGCCTTATGTCTACGAGCTGTTCTTGACTGTGACACCTCGTGCGAAGGGCCTGGACATAACTAGTATGCTTCTTCTTTTGAGTCTAAGCCTCGTGTCCATGCAAATGGTTCAGGTGTTGCGTTCTGTTTTAAAATTTTTTACTTTTTCACTTTGTGTTGATGTTTAGTCCGCTTTCAAGTAGGTACAGGCGATTTGTAACCAGGTATGCTCTTTCGAGAGCATGATTGGAAGCCTCAGACGCTCTGATATGACCATACCATACTATTACGGTTGTTCCCAGGTAAGGAAGTTTATACCTGGTCAAGTTCACTTAAATACAAACAATACGGTAAATTCGTTGCTCAAGTGAATTATCGGGTAACAAAACAATTTCTCCTTCTCCTGGGACTCGATTCTTGAAGCCATTGTCCCCCTCCCGCACTAAGGCTTGTCTCTCTGCTGTCGTTGGGGTGAATATTTCTCTCTGCATGTCAACGCTTTATTTTTCCGCTAAGACAAACGACATCCAAGGTGCATTCGCGACTCATCTAATACTGAGGCGACATGTTAATGATGGCACCTGTTTGAAGCTACGATACTTTTTCGTTGTTTATGCATATTTGCGCAGACTTAGTGAAAGAGCTTTGATTAGTCATCATATAGTGGCAATTTCTTGCGTGCTCTCTCGAACTCACTCATCTGGAATAGAGTTTCGCACCGCAAGCTCTAATGGTGGTTTCTAAGCGGGAGTCTGCTCGCGAATCGTTGCTATGCGAATACGCCCCAGTGTTGTATAAACGTTTATTGAATGTTTACGGCCTCTGTCAATGGGAGTCGCCCAGATTCTCCAGGTTTTTTGTGCCGTGGTTTCGCCCTTCGATACCACGGTTTGCAATTATTGGTTGCCGTTTTGTGTCACCGTCGTCCATATGTTCAGTTTGTCATTGATGACTAAGAGGATGTAATTTATGCGCGAGACTTGTTTAATTTGTTTTACTGACCGGGATGTGATTCATGCTGTGGGTGTCTGCTTGATCCGCTATTCTGATGTTTAGCGCGAATTCAGTCCAGAGACTCCCCCTCTCATTAGTATTACAAGTCCATTTTGTATGATCACCATCGACATACGCAGCTGGCCGTTGTTCGTTTGCATTTGGCAGTGGCAGTGCAGCTGCGAGATTTCTTGGCCTTTTTTTTCTAGCCATATATGACGAGTACGGTAGTTATAATTGACTCATGTGGTCTACGGCCTTGACGTGTTTACTTATATGTGTATCCGTTTTGTGAAGCTACCGCCACTTTCACTACATGCGCAGTTGATGGTCCATCATAGCGGTTGCTTTCCTTTCTTCTTCTGGTTGCCTATGGTCTGTTCTCTGTGTCTGAACTTTCTCTGTGAGATAAAATTTTGCACAAGTTAATGGTGGTTTGAAATCGTCGATTTGTATTCATTCAGCAAAAATCGAACGAGCAAATGATTAGCGACTTTTGTCGTTCGTTCGTTCTCTGATCCTCCCGAGACTCGTGTGATGGTGGTGGTGGTTAACGGAGCGTTGCAGTGGAACAGCACGACGTGAAACAGCGAATTTCCTCACCTAATCACTGTCGTATCGACGTCTTGTAGAACGATCGAGATGCTACTCGCGTTTAATCGATCGCAGCGTTTCTTGGTTTTAATGCCATTGCATTTCTTTCACTGCTGATCGTTGCGTCGAGTTCGACCGATCGGCTTTTCTCGTCTCTTGTTTATTGTCTCTATGCGTTTTCTCCCTGCCTCATCGGAGCATGACTAAAGTATTTTGTTCGTCACGTTTTTAGACGTGTACGTTTTACCCATTACGCCTTTTTGGTAATATAAACGATTTTTATTGATTATTTAACAATGATTATATATGTTTCTTGAATCTTCATGGTGTAACATTCCCCCTTTAGTCAGTAGTCGGTCTTCTGGGTTAAGAATATATGTCGTTTCTACCTGCACATTGATTACCATGTGGGAACCGCAACGCGTCAATTTCGTACACACTTTATGCCACAGAACAAATTTCTACTATCTTTACAAGCTGCTTCCATCACTAATGGGGGACTGACTTTTTTGCGTGCTTTTTAATTTGAACAAGCGGCCAGTTTATCTGCCTGCCTGTTATACAAAATTTTGGTGTCAATTATTTTGTATTTCTTGGCGTTGGAATGGCAGGTTTACTTACTTTATTCAGCAGATTCGTTCAGTT